CCTACCAGCCAGCCTAAGTCAGCAAAGCCATCCAGCATTAAATGCCCCCCATGCTGCCATTTAATGCCCGTCAGGCAATGATTGAAGAAACCTCAAATCGCATTAAATAACCGTCAGACGGACGCCGAACTGCCCTGCCAAATTACTGTGCGACAAGACCAGTGAACAGTGGCTGAATAGTGCCACATTAAAGACCACTATAAATAGCAGCTCACCTCATTTATTTTGGGTTGTTGAAATTCAACTAACTCTGTCTTCTCTCTATTTTCTCTCTCTAAAAACTGTAAGAAACTCACTGTAAGAATTGTAAGTATATCGCAAGTGCCAACCTCGTACGAGAGGCCGACCTCGTGATCGTCTAATAAAATCATAATTAAACAGAATCATTCTCCCCTTTTTCAGTCTTGCTTTCAATATTCTTTATTTTTAACCGTTGACCGAAAACGCTCGTCAACACATCTATCTAATGATCGAACTAGATATCAACACAAATGGATACTCTATGGTTTACAACTCTAAAGGTTACTTGCAATTTTTTATTTTCCTTTTTCACCCAATATTTTTCAAATATCGCGAGTAAGAGTAGTACGTGGAACCCGGTGGGCAGCCGGATTCAAAGCCAATAGAACAAAATGTTCATATAAATCATTATTCCCAAAGCAAAAAGAGGAGATGAAGCAAAAACAAATTCAAATAAATGACGTCTATGATCTTTATGCGAGTAATGAAATAAAAATGGCGTACCTGTACCAGTCGTGGCGGATGCAGCGCTGCTACTCGGGAATTGCGTCTGTGTCGTGTCAATTCCCAATTTTGCGGATGACAACCCTTTAAGTGCCGGTTCAACAATTTGTACCCATCGCCTTTTTAAAGTGGTACTTCTTCTTGGAGTTGACCGGGCAGTAGTTGCAAACAGCAAAAAAGTGATTCTCACCTCTTTTCGGGTTGGGCAACTTCGTGTAATGTCATTTGAACATGGCAGATCCCGACATTTTTAGACTGCCACGGCCGAAGACAGAGGCCGGGTCCGCCTGCATCTCTTGCATAGGCTCCAGAGTCCCTGCAAATAGATCACCCAAATGGTCGTGATACTGCTGTTGCTGCTCTTGCTCCTCAAGATGAATTGAGTCAAATGTGATCGATCGTCGCGACATCAATTCCATCGCCCACACCGGGAACATCGGAACACCGAGAAGAAGATGGTGCCGATATTTTTACACTTATGTCCGGAGCTCGAAGCATGACCACCACCACGTGAGCTCGACAATTTTTAATATAAAGAATATATAAAATATAGAAAATGTAGAATGT